TTTGTCCTAAATTAGACCAGACTTAGATTCAAATATGCCCTTACTACCAGAGTTTGATCAACATTTCTACATGAATCCGTGTAAAGGCAGTTCAGAGTATTCTAAACGCATTATAAATGTTAGAAATGTATTGCTGAAAACACGTTACACCGACTGTGAACTATGTAGTACTGAACTGTGGAGTTAAACGGCTAACAGACAGTTTTTTTTGTGTTCAGGATTTTTAGGGCGGGTCTGAAATCACGTCTCGATGACGCACTGGAGCCACTGAGCATGGCCACTCCCCTAACACTATAATAACTAGAGCGCATTAGAATCAGTGGTTTGCAAGCTAGGTATGCCTGCGTCACGTAAATGCATATTTCCTGACAGACAGCAAAAGGTCTGGGATTGGAAACCTTGACCGCTTTAAATGGCCAAAGACCGCCCAAAAGGGCACTGGGTCAGCTGGCCAATCAGAGCAGACTGCGCTTGTCGGAAGGAGGGACTTTGTAGAAAACGAAGCGTTTGAGAGAGGCGGGGCATAGAGGACCTACAATAATGTACAGTATTTGAAAAATAATGTGTTTTTTGAACATTAAAGCATGTCAATATATTCTGTTACACCAAATACACAAAATAATGATCTTTAAAAAAGCATCATATGACCCCTTTAACAAATAAAGTGGAAGTATCCTTTAAGCTTCTCCACAGAATATACCCTGCTAAACATTTTATTTTACAGTGGAAAGATATTCTTTTAGGCATTATTGTAAACTCCAAAGATAAACAGACGTGCACTTATTTTTTTATTTTAATGGCTAAATTTCATATCCAAAAATGTAAATTTTCAGGTAAAAAAAAAAAAGTTTTATAGCATTTAAACATGAAGTGAAATATATTGAATCTATATTACCCTCGAAGAAACAAAAAGCTATCCGAATTTTGCAAGCATGTACACTTTTTAATGTATTCCTATAATGGTCTATATCTCCCCCTAGCAATCCATATTTTTGTATTGTTATTGGTACTGTATGGATTGTGTAATTCGGTACAATTAATAAAAAATAAAAAAAATTTGGAAGTTTTTTTATTAATGCCAAGATACCAAAAATAAAAGCACAGAAAATATCAACATTGCATACAAAGAAATGACATTACATGCAAAACACTGTTTATACATGTGCAGTATATAACACAAAAAAAAAGAAAGCTTTAACAAAATGGATTAAAAAGATGAAATAAATTAACTTTCAAACGCTTTAAAATTCTTGGATGAAATATACTAGTCAACATTTGAATGGGATCAAAACCTTTCATCAAAGTTGTCCTAAAACCAAAATTTTGTCTTAGAACAACTTTGATGAACTTTTTTGATCGACTTCAAATGTTGACTACTGTAATTGAACCTCTTTTTTTTTTTTAAAAAGATAATAATTAAAGGATTTTGATGAGTGAATTTACTGCAGTGAATATTAAATTTCGCAAGTAGTAATAATAGGTTAATAAAATATTCATTAATTTAATCTTTTTGTATATTGAAGAAGCCAAACAGTACACCCTTAAAAAACAAAGATAACCCCTGGAGCACATAGCGATTAATAACATTAGAGAATTCAATCCAAAATAGTTGTGTGTGAGGATAATCCCAGAAGATATGCAAATCAGTTTCATTAGAGTCAGCTTGTATCCATGTCTGATTTAAACCTTTTCAAAAACACTTATAGTCTATACCACAAACTTTACATATTTCATATACTTTTAAAAGGCCAGCGGACACGCCCCTGTGATACTGCTTTACACGGATTTCAAAAGCCTGTTTATTCGAAATAAAGGTAGTCCATGAGATCACATGATCAAACGCGTCTTGCTCATTGGCTGACGCTGCAACTAGCGGCCAAAAACCTTTTCCTTGAGGGAGACCTCAAACTCCAGTCAAAAATGGCATTTAAAAGGTACATACAAAGCTCTGGTCCTCACTCCAGTACAGTAGATGGCGGAAACGCACCTTAAAATGTTGTAGTTGCCACTACACAAGAAAGATGATTCTGGAAGTGCTGCACTGGTTGTTTACAGCAGAAGAACAGGGATGCTCTATGCAAGTTTCGTGCGTTTCTTTCCACATTTTGCTTTGGATCCTGGTTCATTTTTTTAAAATGGTGCACAAGTGTGCATTTCCACTTCAAGCATACGAGGTTGTGCAGTGAACATTTTTCACAAGACGATTTCAGAGCAGACGATTACGGTTACAGCTGTGCCTGTCATTTATTTACAAACAAAACAGAGGTATGCATACATTGGTATTAATTGTAGTTTTAAAATGAGATGTTAACAATTACTCGATGTATAGTGCATTACAAAATCGTGTAATTTACAACAGATGGGTTGTTTCAGGAGACTGTGAGTGATACATCACTGATCAGATAAGACTTCTATTCAGAAGATTCGGAGGAAATGGATCACTGTTATGCATTACCCGCGGAGACACTACAAACTCTGCCGAGGAAGCGAAAGAAGTCCGACGTTAAGAAGAGAGAAAGAGACAGACTGAGACAGAAAAACAGAGTAAACATCGGCGTGGCCTATTCCAGATGGAAAGCGCTGAAAGTGGAGAAGGGCATGAAGAACGACGCGGAGGTTGCTTGCTATCTGCTGGACAGGTAAAGAATTATGCACGTTTCTAGAACTGCATGCATGCGTCTGGCGGAAGAACACTGTAGCCGGAGCTACTTCTCTCTGTTTATGTCTATGACGAATCACGCAGGCACTGGGCTACTCCGCAGCGGTTCCTACCAGAACCAGCCTAAAAATAGTCCGAATATAAACACTTATTATAGGTGTACCGTAGTGATTCAGGATAAGCCAAAAACACGGTTTGGAAAATTGATTCATGTTGTACCCTCTCACTATATACATTTTGTAAATTTCGAAAAGAAAAAAAAAAAAAGTTACAGAATGCAGCTTTAAATTAAAAGGTATTTTTTTAAAATAAAAAATAAATAAAGGTGCATTAAGCAATATTTTAAAAACGATTTTGACCACAGTGTCGGACCAAGTCCCAAAACACACTTGCAGCCAATCAGCTCCTCGAAAGTTTTTCATATTTGTATTTTGTAAAAAAAAAAAAATTACATTTATAACACTATTCTTTGTATTATATTACCTTTGCATCAAAAAAAAATAAAAAATAAAAGTAAAATAAAAACTAATGCAGTGTCTATGGGAGGGATGGTAAATTTGACCGTTCTCTCTTCTGACTGCAGTTATCAGTCTCTCTCAATTTTTTTCCTTTTATTGAATGTCATGAAAACACTATTGTGGAGTTTTTCTTTTGCTATTTGAGCAAATGGGAATGCAAAAAATATATTTGTGGCACTCTCCCATTCACTGCTTTTCAAGTTAACCCAACTATGACGACTTCCGCTGCTGAGAATCCCGGAAATGTGAAAAAGGTCCATTTAACTACTTAATTCTTTCGTCTCGTTAAAAACGTCTACAAATTTATGAAACTGATCCGAGATCAAGTAAAAACCATAGACGCTGGTTCAATGGTTCGCCGCAGAAATTTCAAAACGTTTCTTTTTCTTCAACGTTTTTATGGTGGTTGACAAACCAGCTTTAGGTGCATATACCGCCACCTACTATGATGGAGTGTGGAGCATTGATGTTAAAGGGGTCATATGATGCGATTTCAATTTTTCCTTTCTCTTTGGAGTGTTACAAGCTCTTGGTGCATAAAGAAGATCTGTAAAGTTGCAAAGACTAAAGTCTCAAATCCAAAGAGATATTCTTTATAAGTTTAGCACGCCTACCTAAAACGGCTCGTTCTAACACACCCCCACATACCTACGTCACGATCTCGGAAGATTTGCATAACGCCGCCCAAACGTTCACGCAAAGAAAGAAGGCGAAAGAAAAAAAAAAAAAACGAATAATTCTTTAAATCCTGTTCATTCATTCTGTGTCTTTGAGATACTTAAATAGTATGTGAAACATGTCTATAGTTGCATCTTTATTTAACAATATCTGTAGTGAGATCTGATTAATTCCTATATGAAGTGCCTCTGTAAGTTGTAATCTTTCATTCTCATATCCTTTACATTTTACTAAAATATGTTCAACTGTTTCAGGAAGATCACATTTAACACAAAGCCCAGATTCATGTTTTCCTATTATATATAATGATTGATTTAGTGCAGCGTGTCCAATTCTAAGACGAGATATTATGCCGTGATTAAGTGCAGTGTGTCCAATTCTAAGGCGAGATATTATGCCGTCTTCCTTTCTATTCCCAAAAATTCTCCTCTCATTTCCAACTGTTTTTTGAATATTATATAAATGCCGTCCTTTATTCTCACCATCCCATTTACTTTGCCATATATCTTTTAATGCTTTTTTAATTAGCCCTTTTATTTCTAATTTACTCATCGGATCATTAAACTATGTCTGGATGTTTTAATGTTTTTTTTTTTTTGCTATTTGATCCACCAGTTCATTTCCTTCTATTCCTATATGTGCAGGTATCCATATAAAAGAGATTTCGAAACGTTTCGAAACTGTTATGACGTAATGAAGCCCCGTTTACTGAAATCACGTGACTTTGGCCGTTTGATACGCGCTCCGAACCACGGTTTCATTCACAAAAAAAGTTTCGAAGCGTCATGGAGCAGTGCGTCTCTTTTTCCACCACTCCGGAGCAGACGGTGGCGGTAATGCACCTATTTACGTTGGTTGCCAGCCGCCGTTAAAAACCAAGTAGAAGAAGCAGTGCTTCGAAAGCGCCCATCACTGACGGATATTAGCAGATCGACTACAGATAGAGAGAGATGGCAGATAAAAAAAAGAAAAAGAGGAAAATATCGGAGGAACAAAGCATTAAAAAGAAGGGTTACGACCAAGCAAGAGGTAAGACCCGCGTAAATATCGGAGCGGCTTTCCAGCGGTGGAGAGAACTCAAGGAGCGGTTAGGCCTGGAATCGGACGCTGAGGTTGCCTTGTTTCTTCTTGATAGGCGAGTAACGTTGATTTTGCTTTGTTTCACACAACTTATCCGTGTTGGCTTTTGCTTGAATATGCTTGCGTGTGATCTTCGCATGTTTGTTCATTTGCAATCTTATTGTCGTTCGCTTTAGTTATGATAAAGACACATTGGTTTCCACACCTTATAAGCATTGAGCGTGTAAACGCGTCGTTTCATTGGATTCCCCTTTTTATTGATCGCTATAATCTCTCTCTATAATTGGCTTTAATGCTGCATCCACGCCAAAAGCTGTCAGTATAAAGGCCAATTCACACCGCACGGACAAACGCCAACAAACAAGTCTGTTAGAGTTTGTTGGATCAGTGTGTTGCCCTTATCGGCGTTTGTTGCCGTTGGTCTGAGTTTTTCACCTTACTGAACATGTTTAATCGGCGTTTGTTGGGTCGTGGAATGTCTGAACGGTGTGATATGATTTTCCAACAAACGACAACAAACTCTGACGTAATCTGACCTGGCCACGATCCGTTGCCATGACGATGCGCATACTTCCCTTAAAGCGAACTTCACCCGCGGCCTCTTTCTTTTTATTCGCCGTTTTTAAATCCGACCCGCCAGTCTCTTGCGTTTTATGCAAATGGGGAGGGAGGGAGGTTGATGATCCCGTAACCACAATCAAAATTTTACTATTATTAATGTATTTGCGTGTCATTCGCGCGGTTACGTCACGTCCGTAAACACAAAGTCTGGCGCGTAGGGCTGTGGAAGGGGAATGGTTTGTAGCTCTGTAGCTCGCCGCCACACTAAATGAGGGTCATTTTGGAAGTAGTTAGCAGGGATTATGGATCGTTCTAAACGGAAAACTTCAACGACCTCTGGAGAAACGCCCGTGGTCAAGGCAAAGGCGCCACGAACCGCACAGAGCCTGCTAGCGAAACGGGAAAGCGACAGAGTTCGCGGTAAAACCAGAATCAATATCGGCAGAGCGTTTGAGCGGTGGAGCCAGTTCAGAGATCTCAAAGGATTTCAGACCGACACAGAACTGGCTTTTTTCTTGCTGGACACGTAAGATATTTTAGTTGAGTGATAGATACCTATCAATTTCTTATCAGTTTTAACTTTTTAGGTCGTTTTGGTAATCCTGATTACACCAAGCAAGCAGTATCGCGCCAACTAAAGTTGCTAGCAAGTGGCAATTTTGAGTTTCAGTCATAAACTGGAAAAATGTATAGAACCATTTTCATTAAGACGCTGCTAGAAAAATTTTACAACTAACTAAAACACAACAAATAACACTGAATTATGCGTTCAATTAAGTAGATAAACTGAAATGGTGTTTCCTTGCGAGACGTACTTAAATAATCTTTATTTTATTTATGGCATTTAAATATTTTTATAATTGTGGCGATTGGTAATTACATAGTGTAGTTCCCCCCCCCCC